GAGGAGTGAGGAGCAGGAGCTCACTTGCAGATCTCAATCAATTCTCAACCCTGGAGGCAGGGACTCTCATTATCCTCATTTTATAGATGAGGAAATCAAGGCTTAGAGAGATGAAGTGTCTCGCCCAAGGTCTGGCTTGGAAGCCCTGCTCTTGATCTCTATACTGCACGGTTCTGGCTGAACATTTGAATCACCTGGGGAGCTGGTGAAACTGAAATATGCTGGCCCCGCCCTACCTATTGACTCAGACTTTCCAGGGGTGGGGTCCAGGTGTCTATTTTTCACAAGCTGCCATCTGGTCTCTCTCAAGACACCCACAGTCTCTCTCATGGGCCTGGGCAGCCCCTGACCACTGGGTCAGCAACCATAGACCTCCCGAGGCTTCATTTATTCATTCTTTCCTCTGGAAGCCTGGGGGAGGGAGGCTGGTTCCCTCTGGGGACTTGGAGTCCTCTAAAAACCCAGGTGTAGGCATAGGTGTGGGCGTCAGGTCCACATTGACAATAAGTCAGTAAGGGCTGAGGCTGTAGCTCAGTGGCAGAGTGCTTGCCTAGCATGCACCAAGCCATGGGTTCAATCCCCAGCACCCCTCAAACAAACAAAAAGTCAGTAAGGAGGCGGACATGATGGTGCATGCCTGTAATCCCAGCTACCTAGTAGGCTGAGGTAGAAGGATCGCAATTTCAAAGTCAGCCTAGACAATTTAGTGAGCCTGTCTCAAATAGCCTTCAGGATCCTAAAGCCAACAGACCAGGAAGTACCTTCAGATACAGGGGGTTTGGGAATTCATAAAAGCACCAAGATGACTTCACAAAGAATGAATAATCTCTCTCCTAAATTGACTATAATCATTAAAAGAGTCTAGGTTCCAAGTGATCCTTTTAAAAGACATAGATCCTTCAAGTAACTGAACGTACTTCAGTGGGAACTGAAGTGCAACTATTATCATGAAGACCTGAGAATTTTAAAAGGTGAATCTCTGGATTATCTGTGTAACCTACTGTGGGCAAGAGCGGGATGGAGGGGTTGGGTGTGGACAGAGACCTAGAAAAAGGAAAGGAGAGGTTGCATCAAGGATTGAGTTCATCTACTCCGTGTCTTTGTTTTTAGTTATTTTTGTAGACTGGCTGGGCAGCTGGGTGGCTGGGTGTTCCCCAGATGAACCTTCTTTCTTTGATAGATGAGAAACTGGAGGACCACAGATGTAGAGTCACTTTCCCAAGGTCACTGAGCTGGGGAGCAGTATAGGTCACAGCCTGTGTGTTTCTGAGTCATGTGACCTGCATGTCATTAAGTCATCCTCCCTTTCCCACCCCCATGTCCTTGCCTGAGGAGAACAGCAGCACAGAAGGGTCAAGGCAAAGCAGATGACCCTGGCCAGCAGATTTCTGGACTGAATGTTCTTAACTTTCCCTCTATGACATAGAGTTAGGAGGCAAAGCCTGAAGCTCAGAGACTTCAGTAGGCAACAGACCCTCCCTCGGCTCCAGGACTACCCTGAGTGTCAGCTGGAAGCTCAGGAGCCTGGGAGGCCACCTGCACACCCCTCCCTGTTTCCCCCCAGCTCTGGTCTGTCAAGGTGAAGCTGCAGGCCTGCTGTCTCCCCTCCCCAGTCCTCACCAAGTCAGACTCACTGCTTCATATGCTCATCCCTGCCCATGGCCTGACAGGGAGAGTGGTGACCACATTCACAGCCTGGGGAGAGGGTATGGCCACTAGGACAGCCTCCCTCTGAAGGGCTCCCTATTTGAGTTTTCAAATTAAAATGCCACAGCCCTCTGTCTGGAGGGCTTCTCATTCCTTGAGCTCTTTAAAGGAGGTTCTGGGCATCTGCGCAAGCCTCCAGCCTCATCTCCATCCATCTGGCCAGGGGTGCCATTGCCACTGGTCTGTTTTCAGCCCAACTGGATGAAAGCATCGTACTTTTTACAAGTATGCAGAGGGTAAATTTCATCTGGTTTCTCTGCCCAAGCCTTTTCTTCTCCAGGGAAGTGCTCTCCACCCCTCCAGCTGTTCTCAGGCTTGCTGTTCTTCCTTCTGCCCTGGCCTCATCAGGAGTTTGCCTGGGACAGCCAAGGCAGCCTCTCCTCCTGACACTCAGGGGAGAGGCAGCAATTCTCACCTGGGTATAGATTGCCCTGGAATAGTAGGGAGTCTCCCTCCTGGTCCCAAATGTGGACTCCAAGGTTAGGGGCAGTTTCAGTAAGTATAACCCTGAGACTTTCCCCCTTATCCCCTAGTCTTGCAGGGGAGGGGATGGGTCTGGCACGGTCTGTCTCCTCTGCTTCTTCTTCTGCCTTCTGACCACTTCTCTATTACGTCTCTGCCTTTCTGGCTTCCCCACCCTCAACATTATTATTACTTCCTCCCACTCCAGTGTTCACCCCTTGGATTTTGGGGGAAACTTGCCTTCTCTCCTATGCAGGGGCTCTGCCATTTCTGTCCACTCCCAATTGGCCTGAGCTTCCCACTGTTGAATTAGGTTCCCAGAGTGAATGAGTTTTCTGTCAGGTAGGAGTGAAATCTACCATTACCTGTGTGACCAGAGTTGCTGCAGTGGGTACAATATGAGCTTTAAGTGGTACAAAGACAGTGTACAGTTCAAATGCGTGAGCTCTCCAAGGACTCTTCCTAGAAATACTCAATCTGTGGGGGGTGAGGAGTGGGTGCTGGGCCAGAGCTTCAAACTAGGAAGCCTTACTGGCAGAGGGCATCAGAAAATAGGAACCACATAAAGGTTGTACCCATCATACATGAGGGACACAGAAAGCCTGGAGAGATCTCAGCAGCCACAGACATGGAAAATGATATCTTGGAAGCAAGAAGCCATGGGATTGATTCTCCTGGCAAGATATAAAGGGGCAGAGTGGGAGGTGGGGTATGGGACACAGACTTTCTGCAGGGATGGTGTTTGGATGATTTATTTTTCTTCCACACATTCAGAGGTCTCAAATAGACAACATGATTTTTTCCCCCTGATACTGGGGAAAATTTTTTTTCCCCTGGCCCTTTTGAGATAGGGTCTTGCTAAGTTGTTGAAGCTGACCTCAAACTTATAATCTTTCTGCCTCAGCCCTCCAAGTCACTGGGATTATAGGTACATGTCACTATGTGTAACTAGACCTATAACAAAATAATTTAAGATGCATGAAAGGAAAACCTTTCTGTTGGAAGATTCTCCCCAGGAGACCAAAGGTAGACCCTCGTTTCTGAGAAAGTAGAAAATCATTTATTAAAATGTTGACAAATCTGGCTAAGGGATAGATTATGAGATAGGACCAGCTTGGCACATCCAAGTTCAGCAATATGGGGGCTAAATGGAGGTCAGGCACAATGCCTATTCTATTCCATTTACCTGCCAGGTTTCTAGGCCTCTTACCTTGGTCATTAAGAATGGAGACTGAGATTGTGACCCTCTTTTGAAGGAGGGAAAGGGAGATATCAGGAATATAGGGCCTTACCTCATGCCAAGACCATCATCTAATGTGGGACACTCAATAAAAGTCACAGTGCGTGAACTAACCCTGAAGGCAGGTCCAGAGAGTTGAGGCCAATGCTGCTTCATTCCCCGTGTTTGCTGGTTCTAGCAGCCTTGACCCTTGCTTCTTCCTGCACTAACTGGAGTGGGGAAGGCAGCACTAACCCACTGGGGGTAGGTGGGGCGGGGGGGTGGGGAGAGAATTATCTGGCCTCTCCAGGACCTTCCAGAACTTCTAGATGGCAGATTTTCTTGGACAATCACTGATGGGACTTTTCCTGGGCTGGCTTCCCAAGGTCTGAAGGCCCCAGTTTCCTTCCCAGTCTGGTGTGAGTGTGCATATGCTCATGGGTGGAACAGGACGGTGAGCTGGGCAGTAGTATAATGGGGTCAGCAGTTCTCACCCCCTCCCCAGCTCTGTCCCACCTGTAGTTCAGCAGGCTAACTTGATTTAGAAGTGGAAAAAGGCCTTTATATCCCTCTGCTCCCGAGGAAGTGACTGACTGGTTAACTGTCTTTCTCCAAAGCCAGGAGGAACTGGCAGGGAGGAGTAAGGTGCGTGCCCAAGCATGACTCTGGGGAGCTGTGTGTGCTCATCCCATGGAGTCTGGGAGGTGGCCTAACTCATGGTCCTCAGACCCCATGATGCACAGTGGCTCTGTATGTACTTCACTGAAGCTTCTGAATGGTGGGCAGCAACATCCACCCAGCCACGCTGGCTCAGTCACCCAGTACCAGTCCTCCAACCTGAGCCAGGGCCGCTGGATGGCTGGATGGCTGGGTGCCCAGAGCAGCACAGCACTCATGCTGAACACCCAAGCGGCAGGGACTGATATGGTGTGTCTGCCAGCCTCCCCTGGGTCCCAGTGCCCCTCACCTTGAGCTGGGACTTGGAGACCTTGCCACTCTTCTCTACATCCAGCGCGGTGAAGGCGTACCAGATGGACTTGAGCAGCTCCTTGCGCAGGGCCATGGCTGAGGCGCCCGCCCGGCCTAGGGGCGGCTCTTAACATCAAGATCCGGTTTCAGGAAATGCAAAACGGCTGCAGAGACCGCAGAGGGGCCCTGGTGCAGAGCAAGAGCTCCACCTGCCTGCTTGCTCTGGCTCCCTGAGCTGGCCTGTGGCTCTGGCAGTGCTCAGCAGCCCCATTCCCCTGCATGGAACAGGGACCAACTTTCTCAGAATTGGGGTCATTGTTCTGATGGGACTGGTTCTCTGGCTGTGAGGACCTTTTAGAAGCCTCTTTGCCCCAGGGCCTTCCTAGGCTACCAAGAGGCAGCTCCCTGAGGGAAAAAGAAAGCCCATCTTGACTTCAGAGTCACAGTTTACCAGGCGTGAGGCCTTGAATTAAGTAACCTAACCTCCCTGAATCACTTCCTCTTAGTAAACAGGAAAAATACCAACCTTACAGAGTGGTACAGATGTCTGAGAATGGATGTAAAGTCCATAGAAGGCTTTGGGTAAAGCATTTCTTTTAGTGCCACCTAGTGTAACCTTGGTGGTGGGGCTCCACCCAAGAGGAATGGCAGGGCTCCACCCAAGAGGAAGAAAACAAAGACAATGCCACAAAGCTAGAGGAAGAACCCGGCCAGGGCACCTCTCTAGGTCAGGCAGACTTGGCACTTGATTTGCTGGCTTACTATTCCCTGGGCATTGGCTCTAAAAGGCACAGAGGGCACTGCTCACTCTGGGCCTGGTGGCCCTGAAGACACCAGACTATATCTGAAACACACAAGGGTGAGTCTTGTGGGGCCCAAACTCAGGGATTCTGGCAGGGGCAGTTTTGGGATTTGGGGCCCTCCATATCGGTATTACCATATCTTTAGACCCAAAGCCCATGAGGGCTGGGCATATCCACTTCAGAAGTAGGGATTTAAAGCCACCTGCAGGACAATTCTGAGACACTCCCTTGCTAGGGGCATGCCTTACTATTCTGCTTCCAAAGGGATGCAAGAGTAAATGGGAGCCTTCTAGCTATACTAGGAGTATGGGCCAGGGGATGGGGTTCCATTCTCACGTGGTAGGAAGGGGCTTGGGACACCATCACAGTTGAGAGAGGGAAAGAGACATCTCCAGCTCCTGCGGTGCTTCCGCTTGGGCAGGGTCAAACCCACAGCTCCTTCCCCTGCATCCCTTCCTCCCACTGGGACTGGTCTGATCTTACCACTCACTTTTCAGTCTGATTATGGCTTTGAAATCCCACAGCAGAGCCCCAGACTCTGGGTGTACCCCATTTCCCAGGGCTGGGTAACATAACCAGGGCTTCAGCACCAGAGCAGCGAGGCATCAGAAACTTGGTAACCTTGACGGAGGTGCCCCTCAGCCCTGCTTTAACCTGAGGCTTTGCCCCCTGGGAGGAGCTGACTGTGTGCAGTCAGGAGTGGCTGGGGCTGGAAGGGCTCAGGCTACATTCCACAAAGATAAGGCAGGAAAAGAGTTCTTCCAGCCCACCATCCCAATGACAGAGATTCAGTTAGAGCTTGGAAGCAGTGGTCACCCTAGAGCCCACCTGCTCAGGTGGTAGGAAGACACCAGCAGCTCTCCTGGGCTTATCTTACATGAGGCCTTTCTCCTAACTGGGTCCCAGGTAGCCCAGCCTACCAGTTAGGCATCAAGGCCGAGCAGTTTGTGTCAGAGAAACAGGGCTGAAAGCTTGACTTGATCAACCCTGCCACCAGGGTCCAGAGCTGAAAGAGTGGAAGAAACCAGGTGGAAACTTGGAACTTTTATTAAATACGCATTCACCTGTTTGCCATCGCCACCCAGAGCAGGGAAAAATAATAATTATCAAAATAGAATTAAAAAAAAACACACACAAAACAAATTAACCCCAATCCCCAGCAATCTATGTACAAGGCCACTCCCTGCCTCTCTGCCACTGAGAGGTTGGGGGGTTGCTGGGTGGTGGGAGCTGGGCACCTTTACTCCAGCCACAGGCCCCTGAGGAATTTATTCTTACTGTGGTGGCAGGAAGTCCCTAGTGCCAAGTGGCCAGGCATCTCTGCTGGCCTCTGGGGAGGTGGTTATTGCTGGGAGGGGCAGGGCTAGGCCTGCTCTGCCCCCACTGGGCTGAAGAGCTATTAGCTCCCCTGGTAGGCCATCACCAGTCATGGTAGAGGCCAGTCCCCACTGCAGCCCCAAACTCCACCTGAGAAGGGTTATGGACTGAAGGTGGGAAGGGTGTTCTCCAAAGGGAGGAGAGTGGGCGCCCAGGGCAGCCTGGTGATCAGGCTTGTGCTCCTCAGCTCCTGAGGATGACACACTCCCAATTCCCACTGCCTGGCCCTTCTTGTGTAGGGCCCCCATCCCCTTCAGTTAGACCATTTTCCTGCTGCTGTCTCACCCGAGACCTATGTGGCCACCTTCCATGTTTCAGCCACAGCTGGGGCCCTTGGAGGCAGAGCCGCCTGTGAAGCACAGCACCTCCTTCAGCATAAGTGGGAGCCAGCCCTAGGGCTCAGCAACCACTCTCCGACACTGCTGTCTCCAGAGTCATGGCCCCTTGCTGCATGGCAGCAGTGGCAACGCTGATAGCCTCTTCCAAGGTCTGCTGCTCCTCCAGCTGTGGAGAAGGGAGGAACATGTGAGATACTCCCTATTAGATCCTAGCATTAGTGGTATGTGGTAGATGCCCTCCATCTACCCAGGGTCACATGTGAAGCTCTTAGTAGGGCCCCAATAACAGAAGGTTCACCATGAAGAGTTCTATTAGGTTAGGTATGGCCAGGGACCCAGGATGGCCCAGGGTCAGAAAGATTGGTTTGTTTGTAGACTAATTGTCTGGAGAGAACCTTAGTGATCATCCACCGTTAAGTCCCAGGTGAAGAAACAGAGATGAATGGCTGAGCCACAGGTGGACTGCCACGGGAGTTATCCTGAAGGCTGGAAAGGGCTTTCCTATGCTGCTTTAGCCAAGAAAGAGCTTGAGACATATGTGTGGATGGGCAGGAAGGGATTTGTCCTCTGAAATGGGCTCCTTTTGAGTCTGATGCCCTTCTCTTCAAGAATTCCACTGAATTCCTTTCCCCACTTGTTCCCTTCTCTGGTCTAAGATCCCCTTTCCTCTCAGACTTCAACCCACCTGCACTGCTATGTGCGTTCCGTTGGCTGTGGCCAACAGCGCCACCTGTTGATGATGAAGGGATGCTACACTTGAGTTCTCGGCCACCACAGCCCCAGAGGTAATGATTGTGACCTGAAACACAGAAGATCTTCCACCCACCTGCAGTACCCTCCATCTCCCCACTCCTAATAACAACCACTCCACACAAGATGGCTAGGAACAACCCAGAAAAAAATGGACAAGACCATGTAGATCATATTAATTAGTTTGAGGCTCTGAGATGAACGAGGTTGTGTTTTTCTCCAATTTAGAGCCCAGGAGAATTCAGGATTTCAAATCGTAGGACAGAGTTATAAAGGACCCCAGAGAGAATTTAATCCCTTCAGCTGAAAATAGACCTTGAAGTCCATGAAAAAGTGATTGCCTACTTTTCAGCAAAGCAAATTTAGAGTAAACTGAGATTTAGAAACCATCTCTTGACCCCATTGTGTGTGTGTGAGTGTGCGCTGTACTGCGAATTGAACCCAGGGGTACTTAATACTGAGATATGCTCTCAGCACTTTTTTTAAAAGACAGGATCTCACTAAATTGTCCAGGCTGGCCTCAAACTTCTGGTCATCTTGCCTAAGCCCCTTGAGTGGCTGGGATTACAGGCCATGATACCCAACTCAAGTCAAATGCTTTTAAAGGTTTGAGTTGCCCAGAGGAGCTGCGGGGAAGACCTTTGATGGTGGGGAATCTTTGTCCTTGAAAAGGCTTGGCTAGTTTGGCCTGTACTTTCATGCCCACCCCATGGAAAGGTTAACAAGAGAACAAGAAACCCTAAGCAAACCGCCTGGTCATACGGGCTGCGTCTGGGTGCCATCAGCGCTGACCATGGTGACTGTATGTGTGCCAGATGTGGCCAGGTCATCGTTGTGGCTGGGGATGGTGAGGGTGGTGCTGCCGTGCTGGGTTACCACACTGATGGCACTCCCCAGGGCCTGCAGGTCTTCTGGGGACAGGCTGACCTGCCAATAGGAGGGGAGAAGATGAGCTGGAACACCAGAAAAGGGGTGTCTGAAAACCCCTCAGGAGGGTGTCTGCTCTCCCAGATAAGCAAGCAAAACAGGGCCAAGACAGCAGAGAGCTACGCTAAAATTGACTAACCACTTCTGTGACCACCACTTTGCCTTCAAGCCCTGCTATTGCATCAGGGTCTTCACCAAATTTCATCCCTGACACCTCTAGAAGGCCTAGGTGTACTGGGCAGAGAGGGTGTGGACAAGGGCCAGGTTATACTGCTGGCTGGTAACACTGGTGGGACTTCCAGGCTTCCGGAACCCTATACCAACGTGCCTCTTGATAAGGACATTCAAATGTCTCAGTTGGACACCTATCAGCTTCCAAGAGGAAAGCTACTATTTTCCAGAAGCTGAGACTAGGCTGGAAGCAAGAGGCTGGGCTACACGATTTGGTCCCCTCAGCTTTAGCTCTCTGAAGTCCACAGAGCTAAAATAGAAATCTGCATGGAAGTGGGGTTGTCAGAACTTCAGAGCTCCCCAGAGTTCCCGGAGAGAATGAAGTGGTCATTTTGGCCTGCCCCAGCCCTGTACCTGCTGGGCACCATCCTGAGTGATGAGAGCCACCTGGGGAGCCCCATCCTCCTCAGTCACCATGGCCACTTGAGCTGGGATGTCATCACCCTCTTCCTTCACTTCTGACAGGTAAGCAATGCGAGCTCGCTTGGGTGGTGGACTTTCCTCAGCTGTAGAGGCGGCTAGGAGAGGAGAGCCTAGGCTACCTCCTGCCATTGGATGCATCTGGGAGGTCTGGCTTGCCCGACTCTTGCCCCCTGCCCACTCCCCTCACCTTCGAGCTGCTGTTGCTCATACAGGGCCTGCTCACTCTCCTCGGTGGCCTCTAGCTCGCCATGGGCGCTGCGCTTGTGCATGGCCAGGGTGGAGGTCTGCCGGTAGGTCTTGCCACAAGTGCTGCAGGTGTAGGGCTTGCAGTGCGTGTGCACCACATGGTGTTTGTACAGGCTTGAGTACTCAGTGAAGCGCTTTCCACAGCCTGGCACCGTGCAAACGTATGGCTTCTCCCCTGGGGACACTGGGCTGTGAGGGGGGTGGGAACTGGGGCTGGCAAGGGGGAAACTAAGGGGACAGGGATGGGGGACAGGGTTGGTGAAGGGAAAGCCAGAGGGAAGGAGAGGGACTGAGACCTGAGACTCTGAACAGACAGAGTTGGGGAAGATGGCCAGTGGATGACATGGAGGACCTGGGCATGGGATCTCTGAGCCCAGGTTTGATTTAATGTAACTGAAGTGCAGTGGTGAAAGAATGGGGTGGGGCAAGGCTGGGGTTGGGGAAGGGGTAGAGGGGCACTGAGGACTGATGAGGCTGAGGGTGGAAGGTTGGAGAGTGGTGAACAAAAGAGGCAGGAGGCGGGAATAGGGTCTGAAGTGTTAGGTAGACACGCATGGCTGAGAGATGACACAGAAGGCTGGACAAGGGATGTGACATTGGGGAGGGTGAGGACATACAGGAGTCATATGCACAGTGGATGAGGTGAGAAGCTGAAGGTGACATTTCACTGTTTCTTCCCCACCATTCTTGACCCTGGGGTCTTCTCAGGAACTCAGCCAGAGCAGAGTTTAGGGCAGGGATAGAGGAATGGTTGGGAACTGAGGGACCCCCCCCAGAGGGCTGGCAATACCTGACAGGCTGGACCTAATTGGAAATGGAGGAACCACTTACTGCTAGTGAAACAGTGGCTCTGGGGATACCCACCCCCAGACCAGCCTGGAATGGCCGATGGGGAAGGGCTCCAGACTGGGAGCTGAGAGTGTGTTTCAGATCGGAAGCCTACAGTAGAGGGAGGTGGGGCCTCTAGAGGGTGGTCCTCGCATGCCAGCTGGCCCACCTGTGTGGATGCGCACGTGATTCTTGTAGTTGGTGGCGCTGGTGAAGCCACGGCCACAGTGGGGCTCGGGGCAGGTGTAGGGCCGCTCGCCTGTGTGGGTGCGCACATGTACCTTGCGGATATTAGATGTGGTGAAGGAGCGGCCACAGCCCTCAAAAGGGCACCGGAATGGGCGTTCACCTGTGCAGATGGGGGGTGTAAGGGGTGGCTCAAGAAAGGTGGCCATGTTGGAGCAAGAAAGGGATGGCACTGGGTGAACTGAGTCCCCCTTCCCCAGGGGTGGGCAGGGCCTTGCCTACCAGTGTGGGTACGGACGTGCTTCTGTAGGTCTCCTGAGGTCTTGAAGGCCTTGCTGCACAGTTCCTCTGGGCACTTGTATGGTTTCTCACCAGTATGGGTGCGAACGTGGCTCTTCAGACCATAGCCTATGCAAGTGTGGTGGGGTAGAGCACCAGTGGGACCTCATCTTCCACTGCTTGCCTCATTTACAGGCGCCCTCCATCCTAAACTGTGCTCTGGGAGGCTCCAAAAGCCCACACTGGTCTATTCTATGTTGCCTGGGCAGGGAAGAGGGCGTAGAAAAGCCCACTTTGTCCTCTCCTGTAGCAGCTGGAAGCATTACAAAAATGTAAGTATGAGAACCTAGAGAATCTGCGGCTAAAGGTCTTTGTTTCACAGAAGGAAAAATATAGCCCAGAGATGCCATGGCCCTCAGCACCCCACATCTAATGATTTTCAGAGCTGATATGACAAGGAGTGTCTCTCTACCTATGCCCCTGTTTCCTTCCACTGGCCTTGACCATGCTGCCTTTCGCTTCTGTAGCAGGGTTTCCTTCAAAGGCAGCACCTGCAGGTCAGAGCACTCTCAGTAGTTTCTCTAGATTGGCAGCCTGTGTTGTGCCTCTCTCAAGGAGGCCCCAAAGCTGATCTAGAATCCTCTGCTCTCAATTGGAAGAAAGTCTACCTTCAGTCTCCATGCAGGTAAGTTACCTGTGGCAAAGGCCTTTCCACAGCTGGGGAAATCACACCTGTATGGACGGTCACCTGTGTGAGCTCGTTCATGCACCTGTGAGGACAAGAAATTGCATAATTCAGAGGGACAGGAGTATAGGCTCGTCTCTGGTTCTCTTCAGGGCCCTGGTTCTTCCCTGCTATTCTGTACATGTGTATCATAACCTCCTGTGCTGATGTTTCTGTGTATGTATCTCTTCCCTCTAGAAGGTAATGTGCAAATTGAGGGCAGGAACCAGTTCCAAAAAAGCAGAATGGCAGAATTTCAGCCTGGCAGGAAAGTAGGTAGAGCTGAAAATTGCCTACTAGCCACCTTACCTTTAAGTGATGTGCAGTGGTATAGAGACGCCCACAGCCCTTGTAGCCACAGCGGAATGCTCTGTCTCCAACCTGCTGCCCTTTGCCATTATGAGGAGCCTGGCTGTCATGTAGAACCTGAGGAAAAAGTCTTAGGGTCCCTATATGGATTCTCCCCATTGAAGGAAAAGAAGTGGTAGCATACAGGGTCCAACTGACAGCCTATGACTCAATAACATGGTAAAACTATCAAGGGCCTCTAGGGTAGAGGACATATCCAGACAGAAAGGGAACAGATATTCAGGCACACTGCAAGAGAAGCCATGCTGGCAATATGAAGTCATACTCATCTCTGATGGACAGAGCGGGGATAGTCACAGGGGCTGTGGTAGCTACTGAAGAAGGAATATCTCGTAGCCAATTAGGTGAGGTGGGGCGTTTGGATGGCCACACTTGAGCTAGGCTGACTTCCAGGAACCTCCCTTTTAACCACACACTCCTAAGAGGCTGCAATTCTTGATATGTTCATCCTCTGATAGGAGGGCCTCCTCCTCCTGGTGGGAAACTGCACAGAAAGAGCATGAACAAGGGGGCTTGCTGTGTAGATGAGCTCAGCCAGGTTCACCTGGCAGGGCAAGGGGCCCACAGTGAAGTGGCTACAACCAGAAGTGCTCTAAAAGAGGGGGCACAAATTTAAGCCCTAACTACAGCACCCAGGTAACTAACAAATCCTGTTTTATTTAATTTCCTGGGGACACTGTTAGAGTCACCTGTCTGACACCAGCCTCAGACCAGAGAGCCCTTACTACTCTTCTGCTTTCCTAGGCATGGTCCTAGTGGGACTGTCCCTTACTCTTTTCTTTTGGGATGCTGCAGGATCACACTCTGGTCTTTTCAGGAGATCCTAGAACTCTGGAAGTCATAGTGAGGAGAAGACTAAAGGGTAAGACCAAATTCATGGCAAGATCTGTCTAATTTGGCTCCAGGTCAGAGGGGCAAATAGCTGACACCCACACAAGCACTCAGATTTCACTCCATGTCATACCAGCTCCCTGTAATTAGGGAGTCAAGGATCATCAGAGCTGGAAGCAACCCTGAGATCATCTGGTTCCATATTATGGTATTAGAGAGGAATAAGCTGAGGCCTGGGAGGGGAGTGACTCACCTGAGATTGGACTATGTGACGGCAGAGCCAGCACATATTTCAGGGCTCATGTCTAAATAAAGACCAATTCTTTTTCCATCAGCTGTCAGTCTCACATTTGGTTTCTAAAATATTCCCTGGGAACAGGGGTGGGAGTGGGCAATAGCCAAAAGTGGTCTGCCACAGTTTTGTGTGGTGTTTTTTTTTGAACTGGATTGAACCTAGGGGCACTTAACCACTGAGCACATCCCCAGCCCTTTTTCATTAAGTTACTTAGGGCCTCTCTAAATTGTTGAGGCTGGCTTTGAACTTGTGATTTTCTGCCTCAGCCTCCTGAGCTACTGGGATTACAGGTGTGCAGCACCACACCAGTTTGTGTTTCATTTTGAAGTGACATGAAGATTTCCTCTTTTCCTTTACCACACAGCTAATTTCACTGTATAAAAACAACTTTTCTTCAATCTTTGGGTAAATCTGGTGTTTCAGGAAACTGCCACAAATACTCCAAAGCTCTGCGGTCCAGCCAGGGAAAGATCACTCCAATCTGGAAAATTCACAGATCTCAGATCTCTGTGTTCCTGTCTTCCAACAGGCAGCACCACAGTTTCAGCAGAGGATGCTCAGAATGACTGGTATTTGAAGGGAAAGAGCCTTTTTTTCCTCCTTTTTTCAGTATTTGAGATCAAGCCCAGGGCCTTGCTTATGCTAGGCAAATTCTCTGCCTCTGAGCTGTATCTCCAGCCCTGAGCCAGGAGTCTATTTTTCAACTGAGTTACTGTGTGGGCCTCAGGTTCCAAGAATCCCACCTGCTCTGTTGCATATGCCCTGGTCATTGCCCTGCCATGCTTATTTTCCCAATGACTAAATAGTTGCAGAGAAGAAATAAATACAAGAGTATCTGACTTCAGTGGATAAAACAAAAACAAAAAACTAATAAAAGACACTGGCAGGGGCTTTCCTAAAAAGTACAGAGGACTATTACAGCAGCCAAAGAGAAGCTGGGCCTAACTTCCCATCACACAATGCTACTTTTTTTTTTTACAGCAGCCTTCTCTCTTCAGAGACAGGCATAAATGTAATCAACCGTAGCAGACCCAGCCCATGCCCTGGACAGGGACATGTGAGATGATCTGGGGTAACTTGGGTAGAGGGGCAAAGACAGTATTGCCCAGGTCATGTTCAAGCACAGGGCTGCTCCTGTCCTCTGGAGAGGTGAAGTTCTGGTAGGGCCAAGAGGTAGTGGACAGGTGAAGCCCCACGGTTGTGAGTGAGGGACAGTGTCAGGATCTGCGTGCTCACCTTGCTTGCATACTGCTCCAGGGCTACCACTGTGTCTGCGCTAAAGCCCTCATCATCTTCTGCTGCCAGATCTTCTAAGCCCACCTCTGTCTGCACGGCCAGGATGGTGCTGTCTGATGGCACAGCCACAGGATGGTGAATGTAGGCAGTGGAGCCATCTTCCAGCTGCACAGCTTCCAGGGCACTGGGATCATAGCCCTCTGCAAGGAACACACGATTAGCCCCGAAGCCACACAAGAGGAGAAGACAGAGCTGGGAACCTGGCTTTAACTTAATGAAAGGTACACATTCCAAGGAGTTTCAACATCAAGTTTGTCCTGGCCTTCACCTTGGTGATTCCTTCTTGCTAGTGGGAATTCCTTCTGGGGTTGCCTCTCCTAAGGACAAGGTCTCTATGGTGTGCTGATTGGAAACTCACTAGCTCCTCAAGGACCTAATGGGACCACCATCACCTGGGCTTAGATGGCCACAAAGGCTTCCTGATCAAGCACCTCTCCCCTGTTCTACTTCCTTCTAGGCAGCATGGCATCTATAGGAATCTTATAGGACACAAAGGTGATCCCATCACCTAACTGCTTTAACAGTTCAAATGTTTCCCACTGGTCTTAGGACAAACACCAAGATCCAAACCCCAATGCAACCAGTGAGTGCTCTGCCTTTCTCATTCTGGCTTCCTCTTAACCACTCTCCTCTCTCCCCTAGTCTTCTAGCTCCCAGAAGTTCCTAGAATGTGCCACTATTTTTCCCAGCTCTCCAGCTCCATGCCTACCATGCTGTTCCTCTGTCTGCAGTACTGAATGCTCCCTGCCACCCTCCTTCCCCTAGCTAAATCTATCCATCCTTCAGCTCTCAGTTCCAGCATCACTTCCTTAGAGAAGTCCTCTCTGAGCCTGATCCCAGTTTGTAATGATCAGTTCATCAGTGATGGCTTATTTCACTTCTCTTTCCCCCTCTAGACTATGGGTGAGCACGGACTGTGTCTAACTTGATTCTCCCTTGTATGCTTCATGCCTAGCACAATGGCTGACATATAGTCGTTGCCCAAGAAGCACTTGGCCACTGGGATTTAACTCAGGAGCACTTGGCCACTGAGCCACATTCCAGCCCTATTTTGTATTTTATTTAGAGACAGAGTCTCACTGAGTTGCTTAGAACCTTGCCACTGCTGAGGCAGGCTTTGAGCTCATGATCTTCCTGCCTCAGCCTCTGGAACCTCTGGGATTACAGGCATGTGGTATCGAACCTGGCAGGAGCTCTATTCTTAAATATTGGTTAAGTTTCTTTTTTCCTGGCTACGGATGATGTCCTTAAGTCCTATTTAAAGCCTTAATACTTTGTGGACGTGCTGGAGCCAAAGTCACCACCAAGGCCCACGTACAGACTCTTAAGGCTCAGCCTCCTGGTGGCAGAGACAGCTGTATGCACAGGAAAGGTGGGTAAGGCTGCTAACAAAGGTGAGCATACATGTGCTTCGGGGAGGACAGCATCTGTGTCTATATTCTAATCATCACAATGTGCCACTCTATCCCCTCTGCCCCGACCTCTGTCAGTTCTGTGTCCATTCTTTTCCCTGTCACTTGTGATGTCCATGAACCCACCTTTGGGTGTGCGGTGTATATAGGCCATGCTGCCATCTTCCAGTTGCACAGGCTGTCCATCCTCAAAGGAGAGAGATTCTGTAATGAGAGCAATGCCAGTCTTTCTCTGGAGCTTGGAGCCACAGAGGGGTCCTTGATGGGGACTGCCATCCCTCCACAAGCCAGGGGTGTGTTGGTGTCCTCACCTTTCTGTACTGTCACTTGGTGAATGTATGCGGTGGTCCCATCCTCAAGCTGGATCACTTGCCCTTCAAGCAGCTTCTCTCCTATGGAGGTGGAAATGGAGAGAAATGGGCCAGGCCTGAAAAGGACTCAGAGATGCCTGTTTTTAGAAAAGGCCATTTGAGACTCTGGGCATGAGCCTGTAGCACAGATAATGTTCACCAAGTTTCCTTGCTCCTGGACTTCCTAGGCCTGGGCCTTGAGGCACTGAGAATAAAGACATCCTGTCATTCAGGAACCTTGCATCTCCCAGCAGATCCCCTTCCTGTCACTCACAGGGGAGAAACTTCCTTTATTATTCCGCCCAAGCCCGGCAAAGTGGGGATTTCCAGCCTAACAGAAACTGCTGAGATTGAACTAAATGGAGAACAAAGGAAACCCAGGAGGGACCCAAATGGTAAAAACTCAGATACAGCTCAAACTAATGAAATCAAAATATATTCCTTTGTTTCACACTGTGGTAGTGTGCCAAGACCTTGAGCCTCTGATAAGACAGTAGTATAGCACAGTGGTTAAAAGTAATGGGTTCTGGAACCAGGTTAAGCCTCCTGAGTGTGAATTCCAGCTCTATTTCTTACAAGCTGTGTGGCCTGGGTCAGCTTTTTAATCGTTGTGTCTCAGTTTCTTTCTTCTTCTTCTTCTTTTTTTTTTTGGTGGTGCTGGGGATTAAACCCAGGGCCCTGTGCACGGGAGGCAAGCACTCTACCAACTGAGCCATATACCCAGCCTAACAGTTTCCTCTTCTTAAGAACTACATTTTCCTGGGGGCTGAGGATGTAGCTCAGTGGTAGAACACTTGTCTAGAATGCACATGCCCTAGGTTCAATGCCCAGCACTGAAAAATAAGACAAAACAAAAATTCTATCTTCCTCATATGGTTGCTGTGAGGGTTCAATGTGATAAATGAGAATGTGATAAGTCCTTAGCAAATTTTAACTCTTATTGTAACCAGTCCAATGTGCATTTTAAAAGAAATGGAAAGCAAAACAACACGAAGCTGAGTGGGACTATTATGCTATTATGTGTTCATCTAGTCTTACCCCATTGCTACTGCTACTACTAATAAAAAATTGACTCACATAAGGCAACACAACAAACATGATAAAAATTACGACTGCAGATTTCCTAAGATAGTACCCTTCCTTTATCTTACTGGAAAGAACTTCTAAAAGGCTCTTGGAATTAGAATTAGATGCCCCCGTCCTCGTGTCCAGTGAGTCTGAGAGAGGGGGAAGGAAGAAAGGAAGTGAGAAAGGTAAGAAAGTAAGGGAGACTGAAGAGTTAATTACAAGTGATTTGTTTGTCCCTTTATTTTATTTTTATTTTTTTTTAATATTTTTTTTATTTTTTATTTTTCAGTGGACACAACATCTTTGTTTGTATGTGGTGCTGAGGATCGAACCTGGGCCGAATGCATGCCAGGCAAGCGCGCTACAGCTTGAGCCACATCCCCAGCCCCTTGTCCCTTTCTTTAGAAGTTTTACGTTTTGGAATTTGATTCTTATGAGATAGGAAAAGAATGAGGTGGCTACTTCTGGCCCAGCTTTCTGCTATCTCCCCTTCAGAAGAGTCCCCAAACTTGTCTCCAGACTGAATTGTTGAGAGCCACAGCCGAAGGGGCCCCAGCAAACTTTCAGACTGCCAGCTGATGATTGGCTCACAGCGGCCCCAGCAACATCTAGCTGATTGGCTCCTCTGCAGTGATGCTCATTGGGCTGTTTCCCCCGCCCTTTCAGACTACGGAGCTGCTCATTGGGGGACTTTTTTTTGGCTCCGCCCATGCGACCCAGCCAATCGGCCTCAAGAGCAGGAGGAGGCGGGGAGGTGGAGAGGCTTGTGGGAAGCTGGTGGTGGCAGTTGGGCTCTGAGGGTTTTTCCTGAGGAGCTGTTTTGCTTGGCGTGTGTGGTTCTAAAAATAAAGTTTGTTTCTTTTGACAAGTGGCTCCTGAATTGTGCCCAGCCAGACTGCGGCACTGAATCTTCTTGGGGTCAGTAACCAACAGTCCTATAACCTGGCCGGAGGCAGGTGAGATGAAGACAGATGTGAGAAGCAGGAAAGGCAGCTGAGATAAGGAGGACCCACTTGCTCCTATCCTACCCTGAGAGCAGAAGACCATCCTTGTTCCCCACTGTTTCTGTCCTGAAAAGGGCACTAGTTTTTGGCGTTCTGAAAGCATTAGCAGAGCTGCCAACAGAGTGGGGAGGCTTTGAGGCAGGAAACAAGACATTGGAAGAGTTGTTTGAGAAAAAATTTTAATGGACAATTTCTTCTAACAACCAGACACTACAATAGGGAAAAGCAGGGCAGAATAACTACCTCACAAGGGGCCTTGTGACCCATTATACAAGGGTGATCACATATCCATATTGAACCAGAATAGTTCCAATGAATTTAAGAATAGCACATTCTTCTATTCCTAAATTTTTTAGATTTGAACAATTACCCTAATTAAAGGTAAATCTCATGCAATTTTAGGGTTCTCCTGCTGGTGAAGCTGGGCCTGCACAGAATTCCTGCTGACAGAGATGAAAGTGCCTCTGTCAAAAGCTTTAGGGAGCTCATCAGAAGGGAATGTGATGATGTGTGTACATGTGCACACTGCCACACTATGGAGGAGGTAGGAACAGCACCAGGAAGTGACGAGTGACAGAGAGGTGAGGGAGGCAAGGAGGTTCAAATATAAGAAGGAAAGACATGTTTATGGTCAGATGTCTCACTCGCTTCTTACTCATTAATTCAACCATTAATTATCAGCAGAAGACAGGCTTGGGAACTAACTAGGTCCAAAGAGTAAACAAAGGCCCATCTACAGATCCTAAGTTCTTCCATCCATCTCACTACACTAGAGAGGCGGGACCTGTGGTGTGAAGTCAGAGAGTTTAAGGCTTCAGAAGTAGCTCCAGAAATTCGATCCTCAATGGAATGAAGCTAGTAAGAATGCACACATCAGAAACAGCTCTTGACGAGAACCCTTTCTAGCAGGCACCCTCCCCAACAATGTCATATGGAAAGACCTTACTAATGAGATTAAGGGATGTCTTTAGTCATTATCAGGGAACAGACAATTTTAAATAAAATTACTGAAACTTATCTTTTAACCTAGGAATGCAAGTTTATTTTGGGAGTGTGGTGAAATGAAGGAGGACACTACTGCAATAATAATGTGGCCATGAGAACAGTGATGTTCATGAAACCCAGAACAGGTCAAATAAGTGGAAATAAGGCAGTGTTTTCCCAGTCCAGGGAACACATGACTATCACCTGGCATGCTTGAGAATGCTGGCAAGAAAGGAGGATATCCCTGCGTGTGGGCCCTTCCCTCAACAGCGCTCTCTTCTGACTCCAAACCTACCTTAATTTGAAGTTCCTTGAAAGTGAGGATAGGGTTGGCAGATAAAATACACGATTTCCTGGTAAATCTGAATTTCAGATCAATAACAAATTGTTCTTAGGATAGGTTAAACATCTCTAATCCAAAAATCCAAAATCTGAAGTACTCCAAAATCTGAATGGATTTTAGAGTAGGGATGCTTAACAGGTAAAGTCTATGCAAATATTCTAAAACCCAAAAATTTCCAAAATCTAAAATACATCTGGTCCCAAGTGTTTTGGATAAGGGCTATCCAACTAGTATTTAGTGCCATTATTTTATTTTATTTTACTTTTTAGCATTTAATCCTTTGTTTATACATGTCTACCTCATACAGTATTTGAGACATGCTTATACTACAGAAGTATCTGCTGTTCATCTGCAATTCAAATTTAACTATGCATCCTATATTTTTATTTCTGGTACCCACTAGACCCAGAAACAAAGGCATAAGCTCTCTGCTTCAGTACCCCCTCGAATCTAGAAAAGTAGCTTGTACAGGTAATTGCCCAGGACATAGTCTGAGTGCTTGAACTTGATGCAATTAAGATGGTGAACTTCCTCTAGAATGCATCGAGAAACTGGACATTTGAAAAGTAGGAAGTCATATCCAGGACTGTGTTCATCCATCCCAGAAATACTCATGAACTGCTCACTCCATGTAAAGAATTCTACTCTTTGAGACGTCTTGGCTCCTATAGCTGGGGCAATATGATTTTCTAGCTTGTGTAGGTAGCATTTTATTTTAAAGAGACCCATTTTCAAGTATCTCAGACTCTCACGCAGAGTAAGCTGTGGAGGAGGGCAGGGATGAGCAGGCAGGAGTGCAGGCTGGTGACTCTGAGAAGGGGATACTCCTTTCTAGAAGCTGAGGGATAGGATCCTGAGGTCCTGGGAAATACTCACCTTTGACAGCTTGCTGGACATAGGCTGTCGTCCCATCACTAAGGGTCACCGTCTGTAGACCCAAGCTCTCCATGGCAAACTGCTGCTCATGCACTCAGACATGAAGTTGGCTTCTGGCCACCACCAAGAGCCACAGGTGAGGTCAGAGATTTCCTTCTGGGTCACAAGTCTGAGAAAATAAACAGTGTCACATAAAAAGTTTCATGGCTTTCTTCTGGCACACGGAGTTAATGAGGCTAGCTAAGAAGACAGAGAAATAAATTTATTAAAGTAGAAAATTATGTTGGTTTTTATGAAAAGGGTTAAAAATATACACATATAAGAATTCTAAAAGATGAGCACAGAAGAGAAGCATGTCAAACTGGCTGTAAGCTAAGAATTCATGATCAAAACCTAGTTTTAAATTCACTCCCCTCAGGAGGGAGCCTGGTTAAAGGCAGGCGGCCAACTTCACTGCTGCTGGTTCTCCATGACCTCCAACATCCACACACCAGCACTGTTAACCAACCTCAGGGAAGACCCCGTGGGTAATGGAACAAGTCCTTAACAGGACTTACATCATCCCCCAATACCTCAGAACTGTCCTATGTCCCTAGTACCCCCATCCCAAGGGTGGTACCTCCATCTACCCAGAAGCAGTGGGTTCATCTCTGAGTTCTCCTTTTCCCCAAAAAGTCCTATTTCAAGTAAGTATCATCTCTCAGATTATGTCCTCAGATAAACTTCTGCCTGTTTACAATTCATTTTCCAACACCCTATAAGCATGACCTTAAAAATAATACAAACTTAAATATCCCCTTTCTCTGTTTCAAACCCTTTAATAGTTTCTTATCACCCTTAGAAATTCACTCTGCAGGCATGGATAGGTCGTTACAGATTTCTGTAGCCCTGGGTACCATCTCTTCCTAACATACACCTGGGCTCATCTCCTTCAATACCTACTTTTTTTTTTTTTTGGTTTGAACCCAGGGCCTTGTGTATGCGAGACAAGCACTCTACCAACTGAGCTATATCCCCAGCACCTCAACTGACTTTTAACACCTGTTTCCTACATAGGATTCTAGGCTCTACTCCGGTTTCTGGTTTACAGTGGCTTCTCCAGCACCTTGTGCTGTGGGCTAGCACAGATCCTCTTGGAGTGATCACCAGGTTCTCATGTATCTGCCATGGCATGGAATCTATTCTAGTTGTAGAACAACACCCCCCAACACCTGTGAAGCCTGCAGGAAGCCCATAGCATCTGTTCTTGGTCTAGTTGTTAGGATTCTTTGTTTTTGTTTTTTTCCTTTTCCTTTTCTTTTTTTTTGGTAATACCAGGGATTGAATCCAGGAGCACTCCACCCCTGAGCTTCATTCCCAGCCCCCTCCCCCACTTTTTCGGTGGTGCTGGGGATTGAACCCAGGGTCTTGTGCATGCAAAGCAAGCACTCTACCAACTGAGCTATATCCCTACCCCTATTCCCAGCCCTTTTTGAGACAGGGTCTCACTAAGTTGCTAAGGCTGGCCTTAAACTTGAAATCCTCCTGCCTTGGTGTCCTGATTTGCTGGATTACAGGCATGTGCAACCATGCCTGGCAGTTGTTAAGATTCTTTTTCTACTCATCCACAGAATTCTCCTGGACTTGGCCTCTGGCCTGCTTACTTGATCCTCATGACCTATCAGCTATATCCTGTTTTCACATCAGAGCACGAAGTCAGGAAGATATTTGTATGTCACATGGCAGATGCTACTGCTTGATGCTAGCAACAACTACTGGGGCTTTGGCAGCATCAAGGGTTAAGCAGATCAATATCTTCATATAACTACAGCTCATCTGTGATACAGTGGTTGGGATGTTCTACCCCAGGCTTGGCATCTCAACTAGAATTATTCATTCATTCTGTCTATAAACACTGACTGATTGAACTAGGCTCCAAGGAGCAATATTAATAAAAGTGAGCAATACTTAAGAGCTAATCAAGTGAGACATATTATACACATTAAAGACAATCCTATACTTCAATACCATTATTTTCCCTGTTTTACATCAAATAATTTACTCAAGTTTATACACCTAGTGTGTGAGGAGGATCTGAACCCAGTGCATTTGATTCAAAGAGTGCTTTAAAGTTCTCTAGTATGCTGTCATCCCAACTTCCCTGGTCTGTCAGGATCCTAGAAGTGACCTCAACTTTGCCTACACTCCTGATAATCCCCAATGGTCTCTATTTTACAAAAGCTCTGGTTCTGACTTTTCTTGTTCTGCTCCCTGATCTTCAACTTTCATTCTCTTAATCAGGAAGGGAGAATCTTTTGTAACCTGTTTCACTATAATCACATTATGTCAGAAATAAGGACACAGGAGAGATCCAGGTTTAAAAACAGCACAATGGCCCCAAGCTATTATGGCTGGGCTCTGCCAGCTCTGGCAGCAAATGGTTGGTTTAATTTAGCATGTCTGTATTCCACAGGAACATCATAAGGGAAATTTAAGAGCACAGGCTCTAGAGGCAGCCTGAGTTCCAATTCAGGCTCAGTTGCTTGGAAGCTGTGTAGCACCGGGCAAGTAAATTAACCAATCTGAACCTGATGCCACAGAACAGTGGTACCTGCTTCCCAGGCTGCTGTAAGGATTGAATGAAGTCACATACATTGGCCTTTAGTCCAGCACTGGTACATAGGAAGTGCTCTACAAATACTGGCTCTGAGGAGAGGGGAAAGAAGAGGGACCTAAAGGGAAACGCTTTTGAAGCAATGTGGATTTCTAAAACGTTAGTCAGGAGTAATGGCAACAGCCCCAGACTAGAGGTCTGAAGAACTGGCTTCTCATCCTGATTGTATGTGATTTTTTTTTTTTTAATCTATAACATACAGTGTTGGCCCAGATGACACTGATTTTTTCCACCGCTCATACTAATTTATAGTTATTCAGCATGTTCCCCATAGTATATGCCAACCACTGTTCAAACCACTCTGCCTGAATTAATTTTTAATCTTAACGATAACCATAAGAGAAGGTAGGTACTTTATCCTCCCTTTACAAATGAGGTTGCTGAGGTGTACAGGGATACTAATTTGCCTAAGTTTCCTAAAGCTATCAAGTGCTGAAGCCAGGATTCAAAGTCAGGCTAGCAGGCCCCGCTGCCTAGACTTTTCAATATTTGGCACACTTCTCCCTGCTAATCCAGTGTGACCGACACACTGTCAGCACTCAAAACACTTGAATACAGGTTGCTCAACTTCCATCCCATCCACCATAACTTAAACCCAATCATTCTTGGTCTACCCACAGTGGAAAAAGGGAATGGCTGGTAGCCACATTACCCAAAATAATCCTTCTTAGGTTCAAAGAAAACACACTTGACTGCCTGATCTTGCATCTGGCTCCAATTCATCCACTTTTCTTCCTGAAGCTTCATAATATAAACCTTTAAAATAGCCCACATTACCTCCAGATTTCCCCAATCCTTGAGGCTGCTTCCAACACAGCTGACTACAGGGAGTGAGGATGTTTCACGGCTGCCGGACAGATACTAGCATCTCCCTTTCCCTTCTGTAATTGATGGTTTACTCTGAATTTTCTTGTGCTGGCACCGAACCAACAACAGTGACACAGGCAGAGCCAGAGAGAACTGTCATTGCCCGAGGATGGCTATCTAAGCAGTTTCTCCCTGTAACGGGCATTTCAGATTTATAACTCCCATGGCCCTCTGAGAAGTGTGGATGGGGCGGGGGGCAGCTGATCTTTTTCTCCTTAGAGGGTATAAGGATTATCAATGACTTGAGCTGGGTACAGGGGGGACAGACCAAGGGGAGAGGGAAAAGCAGAATAAGAGTGATGGCAAAAGGTTGAGACTGAAAAGGAGTACTCTTGACTTTCCCAGGACGATCCCCAAGTCCAGTTTTGTTTGTCATGCTTTTAAAAATGAACGTACACACTGTTGGCACTGAGAAGGAGACAACTCCATGATTCCATAATCTATCATTGAGTTTTCTACTGTAAAACATAAATTATGATTATTGGGAGGTAACATTAAGAAAAACTGGTTTAGAGGCTTCAGATTTTTAAGTCTCTCCCTCAAACAAGATGTGCTTAAATGACCATCTCAAAGCAGAAAAATAAGGGATGTGAAAGACGGGAAACTAAAGAGCAGCTGTGGTATTGCCTTTCTCCACTTTGTCATGGTTGAGATCTGATCTGATCCACATCCAAACAGGCTGCGCGGACTCTAGGCACCTGTTCGCTAGCCACTCCATCGCCCTCTGCCAAGCAGAACTCCCTGGACACTGGGACAGGGCTTTCTGTACTCTGCCTCAATCAGACCAGAGGGCAACTGTGTTTAGAAGCCAAAAAATTTTTTAAAAATGAAACATTTGCTTGGAAGGAGAAGAATGTTCAACTTTGACCAGAAAAAAAAATTATGACAATTTTCACTCAGAAAATTCCTTATTTGCAAACATAGAAAACTTCTTACAAATGACAAATAAACGTTGGGTTGGGAGGGATGAAGGCTGATGGAGACAAGTGGAAAACAAATTAGAACCAGATTTGGGAGAGTGCAGTAAAATGATTCAGTATTTGTTATTATAGAAAAAGACTTCAAGGCACAAAAAATCCCTAGTGAAATGAGCTTAGTTCTGTGGGTTTTTAAGCACTGAAGAGAAAACAGGAAATTAATAACAGAAGTTTGCACTAACATAACACAAATTTAAAACATAAGCTAAACATCTCTTTGCAAAAGGCACAATGATTTTAAAAACCCAAATCACTTTTAGTATGGTTCCTATTTGGCTACTGCAACTTTATAGATGTGAATTAGTCACAGAAAAGGGAGTAATTAGGCAGAGTGGATTATTTCTAATTCCAAAGGGCAATGAAAAAAAAACAGACCTCCATTATTATAGAAGAGAATTCATTTGAACTAAAAAAATTAACTTAAAAATCTAAATTTCAGCCATATATTCAAGTGAATTTTAATATCTCAGTTTATAAACACCCAACAAAGCAATCATGGCTGGGTTTCAAACCACCTTTAGTTAATGAAAAAAGTCTAGAATCAAGGCATTTGGGGAGGATTATCCTTAGGATAACTTTTATACCAACAAGCAAATTAGCAGATATGATGAAGGTAAATTTGAATCATTTCTAGAATTCAGATTGGAGGCTACCACTGGCTTGAGAAGAGTC